AAACTAGCAATAAATAAAAATTAAATTCTTGCACATTATCTAAATAAACTACTACATCATATAAAGAAGTTACAGATATGGCCATATGGGACCAATAACTTTCTTTAAAGGAGAAGTGGAAAAAAGAGCAAGCTTTGAGATGGTTACTTTTGTAAATTTAAGCAATGTTATAAAAATTGAAGGTACAGCACGGTGATATTTACTTATCATTGACATAACCGTTTATTTTTATATAGTATAAAAATAAAATAAGATGTAAAGCGTAAAGGACAGAAGAACGTAAGATTTATTGGGCGTTTGGACATAAGAATTGTGAAATTCCGAAAAAAAGTAAATCTTTTTCTAAATAAAAATGGTATTGAAAATTAGAGTTGTGTTTGGATATGAATATAATTTGGAGTTGTTTTTGAATTTTTATGAGTGATTTGAAGTGAAAATTTTGAAAAACTGTTTTTTGGAGTTTTTCAAATTTCTGAAAAAATTCGAAATTGAACTTCAAGTGAGATTTGAAAATTTCATGGCCAAACATTAATTCTGAAAAAAGTGAAATTTTTCAGAAAAAAGTAATATTTTTAATGTCCAAACGGGCCCTTAATTTCACCATATTAAGTAAATACAGGTAATCCAATTCCAATGTGAGATTTTGACTACAGGATTTGGGATTTTGGCTGTTCTGTTTAATTTAATTTTCAACGGTCAAATCTTATGCCTTGGACCAAAACATTTCACACCTTTGTAAAAATTATTTTAAAATATGAAATACTACATTTGGTTATTATCAATGGAGTTTCAAATCTATAAATTTAATTTTTGAAAAATGATGAAAATCCAGAACGGTTTTTAGTCATCTATGACATGTACAAATTGTGCACCTAGCATAATGAAACACGAACTATAATATGGAGAAAATCATAGATTAAAAAACTTTTATGATGTAAACACCAATATTTGCGATAAATATTTGATTCAAACTTTTTAGTTGATTGAGTTGGTTATATTATCTTTAATTTTCACGTATAAACATCACTTTTTAACTAATACCTATATATTCTTCCAGTAATTTTTTTAAATATAAACTTATTCTATAATTTTATAATTACCTTTTAAGTAATCCAAATTTCCAATTAACCAAAGCAGATGATTCTACTCTATTTTTCATCCTAATTTAGTTTTCACAGTATTTCGTTTTCTGACGGCCTGCAATGGATGAAACTATAACTTAATTATTTTAGGAAAAAATGTGTAATGTGAAAAAATATTGGATAAAAAGTGTCAATATAGTTTGCACTAATTGTTAGTTATTCACGCATTACCATATGAGCTTGCGATAATTGAAAAAGAATTTTTATGACTGTAAAGCCATATTTTTTTAATTAAAATATCAGCTGAATCTGAACGTATATAGGATTACTAAGATATTGTCTCTAATTTGAGTAGTGAATAATTAAGATTGTTGATTTTCTCAACATTTTAGTGTGTATATCTTTATTTCAAAATTACTTAATAAAAATTTAAATCAAATAATANTATATATATATATGATCATACAATAAAATTTTGTGTTCGATGAAGCGGACTCTAACGCTAGTGGTAGCGGTAGCTACCGCATGTGGTAGTCGATGGTGGTAGTTGTGTGAGGTTGTTATATATGGTATAGGTAGTTAGGTAATGTGATGACCCGATAGGTCATCTTATGTTTTAGAACCTAATTCTGTGCTTGGAAGTCTTAAACACCTCATTTTATCCCTCCTCAATTTGCATGCGCAGTCCAGGCGTGTTTCCAGAAAGCTTTATGTTAAAAACTGAGAAAATATGAAATTTTTCCCTTAAAATCCATTTGAGTTGACTTCGGTCAACGTTTTGAGCAAACGGACCCGGATTCGTATTTTGTCGATCCCGATGGGTTCGTATCATGATTTGGACTTGGGCATATGCCCGGAAACGAATTCGAAAATCTCTAGCCTGAGTTATCGGACTTTGTTAAAATTTGAAAGTCAGAAGCTTAATGACTTTGAAATGTTTGACCAATATTTGACTTTTTGAATAATGGGTCGTATTTTAGTTCTGGAACACGGTATAGGTTGAATACTATATTTATAACTTGTCTGTCAAATTTGGTGAGAATCGGAGTTGGTTTGACGTGATTCAGAAGTCTGCTTGTGAAAATAGAAGTCTCACAATTTTCTTGAAAATTTCATTTGATTTGGTGTTCAATTCACTATTCTAGGTATTATTTTGGCGATTTGATCACGCGAGCAAGTTCGTATGATGTTTTTAGACTTGTGTGCATATTTAGTTTAGAGCCTCGAGAGCTCAGGTGAATTTCGGATAGGTTACAGAGTGAAATATGGACTTAGAACATTGGTGGTGTGTTCCAGGTCTGGTGCAGGCCTCAGACCTCGCAATTGCGAGGTCAGGCTTCGCATTTGCGACCTCTGATAGGTTCGCATTTGCGAGCAACACATCGCAATTGCGAAGAGTAGCTGGGGCACCATATGTTCACGTTTGCGAATAATTCTTTGCATTTGCAATCTGGGACAGGGGGAGGCAGTGATCGCAAATGCAACCAAATGGTCGCATTTGCGTAGATCATGGTTCGCATTTGCGAACAGTTCATCGCATTTGCGATGGAAGCAGAGATGTGAAGAGCTTCACAGTTGCGATGATTTTTTCGCATTTGCGGGGTTCGCAAATCGCAAATGCGACATCTGTAACTGATCAAAATGGGAGTTAGACGAAATTATTGTTCATTCTCTCAATTTTTCAAACTTAAGAACCCTAGGGCCAAATTTTCAAAGGACTTTTCTTCCCCAAATCATTGGTAAGTGATTCTAAATTAATTTCTTTCAATCTCTCATTACTTTTCCTAAAATTGTAACCTAAAATCTTGTGTTTTCATGGTAGAAATTAGGTCTTTGGGTAGAATTAGAAATTTTTGTAAAATGGGGATTTAGACCTCAAATTGAGGTCGGATGCCAAAATAAATTACATAACTGGGCTCGGGGGTGAATGATTAATCGGGTTTGGTCCGAATTTCAGATTTGGACCAAGCGGGCCCGGGAGTTCACTTTTTCAATAATGATTTAAATTGAATTCTTTGCAATCGTGGGTAATTCCTAAGGCTTGATGTGAATCGTTTGGTTGGTAATTTGCTAGATTCTATTGGTTCGGAGCCTTGTTATAAAGGCAAAGCGGTGGTTGTGCTTTGAATTGATCCTTTGGAGCGAGGTAAGTGTCGTGATTAACCTTCACTTAAGGAATTAGGACTTATTTGTCTATTTGCTACATGTTTAGATGTTGGGTACAACATATATGTGAGGTGACGAGTACTTATGCGTTGTTGTCACGTTAAAACATGCGGGTGGGGCTTGTTTCTTGCAATTGTTGCTTCCTTTGATCATGCTATCCATGCTTAGACTAGTTATTTGATAAATTGATTGTTCTCATCATGTTTACAGGCTTTTGTAATAATTGAGTATTGACTCCAAGTTGAGATTGGTATTGTGGAACCGTTGTTGAAGTAATTAGGCTTGTACTTGTTGATCCTATCTCTCTGTTATTACTTATTCATTGTTATGTGGTAAGGGAGAATATTAATGCATGAAGGGTGATATCGTGCCATATTGTGAGTGTTAATGCACGAAGGGTGATGCCGTGCCATGTTATGAGAGTTAATGCACGAAGGGTGATGTCGTGCCGTTTCTATTGAATTATACTGTGAGTGAGTGTTAAAGCACGAAGGGTGATGCCGTGCAATATCTTTGTTTCATTGTGGTTGAGAGTAAAAGCACAAAGGGTGATGCCGTGTAATTTTCTTCATTGTTCTTAATTATTTTTTTACTGATTAAAGGCATATTGACTGTTCTGGTTATTATTTCCGCTGTAATTCTCATATTTTGTTTTTCCCCTTTAGCATGTCCCCTCCCAAAAGTCCATGTTTAGCTTTCATTTGTTGCTATCTTGTACATATACTGTTATCTGCATAATTTTATTATGTATGTGTCTTGTCATAGCCTCGTCACTATTTCGTCGAGGTTAGGCTCGACACTTACGAGTGCATAGGGTCAGTTGTACTCATACTACACTCTGCAATTCTTGTGCAGATTTTGGTACCGACCCTAGTTGTCCATGAGTTGGAGCAGCTTGGAATAGCTTTGAAGAGGTAGATTTGCCGGCGTCCGCAGACTTTGAAGTCCCCTTTATTTTTCTTATTTCACTGTTTCTTTTCTTTCAAAACAGTTGTATTTCTTTTAGACTCTATTTGTAGTAAATTCTAGAAGCTCATGAGTTGTGACTCCAGATTTGTATCATAGTAGATATTGGGCTTTTATGTTATTCCGCACTTGATTTTATTTCATTTTGACTTAATTGACTTTATCTATTGAAATTGAAAGAAATTGACTTAACGGTTCTCTAACGTTGACTTGCCTAACAAGTGAAATGTTAGGCGCCATCACGGTCTCGAAGGTGGGAATTCCGGATCGTGACAAGTTGGTATTAGAGCGCTAGGTTGTCTAGGTCTCACAATTCATGATTAGGCTTAGTTGAGTCTGGAGGATCGGTACGGAGACGTCTGCACTTATCT